ATTCCTGCATTAAATCTTTCTTTAACTGTAAAATGCTGGAAAAGAAGCCCTACATCATATATTTATTTATATTATCAGTTGAATATTGTCCCGGAATATTTCCTAATTAAAATATATAATGAAAGATTACATGTCTTCAGTTCTACAGTGTGCGTTTTGTTTTTCACTGGTAGTCTGTAAGCCAGGAATGCAGGTTTGGATGGTGATTGATGTTCTAGATCTAGTATGTCTAAATCCAAATACAGGGTTACACATTTAGTATTCTTGTTAGTTTAAAAATCTTAAAAAGAACTACAAAAATAATATTTCCAAAATGTTTTTTATTAAATAATACATATTTTTCTGAAGTCTCTCATTTTGGCAGAAAAATGAAAACTAAAAGGAATAGATAAAATAAAACCACCAGCTGTAAAACTCCTTTTCAGGCTTCGCATTTACATCCTATCTTACAGTTAAAACTGTTCCAGTAAATGTTCTGTACTTGATATTTTGAACTTAGGGCTTCGTGAAATTCCTTATTTTAAAGTTACATTTTAAACAAAATTGCAAACTAATATCAACGTAATATTAACATCACACATTGTCAACTTCTGAAATATTAAATTTTGGCAAGACAATAAGCTGAAATGACTGAACAATAAATGCCTTCATTGAGTTTTGCAGTTTAAAGGTCAACTTTTTTGGTTTGGTTTTGTTCTGGCTTGAACACAAGTGCTTTTAAACAGTGGCATACCATAGGCTAACTTTTTGAAAGTCCTATGTCTGTTCAATATCTAAGGTATTGAAGTACATTTACTTGGAATCTTTGTTCTAACAGAAAGAAAAATCTGTTCGTACTACTTGAAGAATATGAATATTTATTTTCACACCTAACCACAAGCAGTTAGTGGTTTGATCCCTGTGCTCTAAATGTTTTCAGAGTAAGGATCTCAATATTCAATAAAATAGTCAATATTCGATAGTAACCAGTTATATAAAATTCAGCAGTGGTGTCTTCTGTTGCAATATTAGTAACTTAACTTATTCTTTATTTCGATTGAAAGTCTCAAAGTGTTTTAAAAAAGAATAGTATTTATGTAGATTATTACTTAACATATTTGGTGCTATTGCACAACTAAGGTGCTTCACCTTGATTTGGACCTGACTGTGTGAGATGCTACACAATTGCTGTAGCCTCTGTAATCTCCAAACTGCATTTCTGGCTGCCTGAGAAGCTGATGAAAAATCCAGGTCCCTTTTATCCCTGGAACTCTATCTCCGAGACCCCAGTGCTCTGCAAGGTGAGGCACTGAACTGGAGAACATGATGGAAGGCACCCCAAAATGTGCTGTTTGGATAGGGAGGTATAGAAACCAAAATACCCTATCTTTCTCATTTCTGTAGCTTAAGTAACTTTTTTTTTCTAATTATAGATTTTTTTCTGAGTACTTCTTTAAATTTTTGCTGATATTTTCCAAGGTAACAACATGAAAGTCTTTAAGTTATTTCTTAACCAGAAGTATTTTTTTCATCTACAGTGTGATATTTGCATGTGTAATATATCTGTGTTTGAAGACCCAGTGGATATGCCTTGTGGACATGACTTCTGCAGAGCATGCTGGGAGGCGTGAGTATATGTACTTTTCTGTCTTTTGAGAAACTTTCTTCAGTGCAGAAGTTACCAAGAGAACACTGGCCTGACAGGGTGATTCTAATTTGGGTGCTGGACTATGTGTACTGTTATTTGTGTGTGCACTCAGAGCTACCATTCAATGACAAGCAAGTGTTTGCGGTGGCACGTCTAGGGTGGGATTCATCTTTGTGAGTCCCAAATGCCAGTCGTTTCTAAATTAGTCGGAGCATAGCCGGGGCTGAGTTACCGCATTCTGAGAGATGAATCTAAGATGGGATGAATTGGAATCTCTACCTTAACTATTAAAGGATTTCAGGTGGCTAACTTAGAATAGCTGTCTCTCCTATAGATGATTAAAATTAGATGAGTACCATCATTGATGTCAGAGTAATGTTACAGCTTTTAAACCTAGCAGCCTTGTGTCCTGTTAGTTAAAAGTCCAGCTTCCAGCAGATATCTGAGCTCATTCTGCCTTGCATTCTGGTGTTTAGGGACTATAAAGGTCTCCATTTAGAAATTTGTTTCCAAGAGCAGACCTATTTTGATTAGCACAGTTGTAAAAATTAATTGCATATCAAATTAATTATTTCCTAGATTAATTACATTTACATGTTCCATTTCTGATTTAAGTTAGAAGTAATGCTCAGTTTAATTAAACATGTAGGACTGTCTCTGGTAAACAGCAAGGATGGAAACCACAAACACATAGGGCTAAGCATAGCTGATGGTACTCGCTTTTGGACCATGACAGTGTTCTTTTATTTTCTTTTTAATTATGCTGTGCGTCAAATCTGTAGCCCTTTTCAGCAGAAAGGGACAATTCCTATTCTTTGTTTAAAAAATGATTAATGTGAATATCTGTGAACCTAGCATAACGTATTCAGCAGCCTTTAATTTTTACTTTTTATTCACAAATACTGACTGACAAAATTCTGGCAGATTTTTGAATCTGAAAATTCAGGAAGGTGAAGCTCACAACATTTTTTGCCCAGCATATGATTGTTTCCAGCTTGTGCCTGTAGACATCATAGAAAGTGTGGTTTCCAAGGAGATGGACAAAAGATACCTTCAATTTGACATTAAGGTAAAGTATCAAACTGTTCTTGTACTCTTGAACTGTATTTCATTTTATAAAAATAACTTCCAACTGCTATGTTAAATGCTGCAATGTATCTGTAACTTCGCAAGTAGAAATTCATAAATTAATATGTACGCTGACTTATGTGCCATAATATCAATGTTTGATGTGTCACTGAGAAAAAAGAAAGAATAATATATTTATTCCTTAAGCACAAACACAGTACTTTCATAATGTGTAACCTAATGCAGTATTAATAAAATTATTTGATCAAACTGATGTTCGTAACAGGTCATATGAAGCTTTTCATCAACCAGCCTTGTTTGTGTTGGCAATCTAGAATTTGTAAGAGCTTTTGGATTATTTGTATTACCAAGAGACTGTTTACATGCAGAAATAGCACCTGTTCACATTTTTTAAATGTATTAGTACAAGCGAATTAATTTTTTTCCATCCAGTGCTTGATATAATTGCTATATGTAGGCAGAGAAGTAGGAAAACCTTGATTTGATTTTCCAGTTTGAATTTTTTATCGTGTTTGTTTCCATCATTGCAACTTGTTTTTAAAAGCAATCTTTTAATTCAGCTTTTTTCTTTTATACTAGTGTAGTAATGAACTAGTCTTGAAATTATGTGCTTCTTTACAATGGTGGCAGGGCATAAGAAAGTAGAGAAATATTTTTTCATTTACAATACATTAATTTCTCTGTGTGACGAGCCTCTTTAATACATAGTAACAGACTCTTATGCAGTAAGATGCAAATTAAATGGCCAGATTGGGTTAATCTTTTGCATCTTCGTATTTCAAGTGGCTGGTGATCAGCATAGGTTTGAAGCTAAGTAGTGAAAGTTCCTTTTTCTCCTCATTTATTAGATGTAAGTTTTACAAAACACTTACTATCTTAACCAAAACAGGTTGGAAGTAAATTCCTGAATTAGTCTAGTTTTGATTTCAGGTTTATTGCAGGCAGGATATATTGTGGGATTTTTGTTTTAATCAGTAAGATTTTAATTCTTTTCAGCTACAAGATTCAGTTTTGTTAATGAGTATATTGCTAGTGCATATATAGTAGAAATTTACAGTAAGCCATGTCACAAAGGAATTGACTTGCATACACTGAGTATTTTGTTTGGGATGTAAGTCATTTGCGTCTTGGCACTAGTTGTGAGTACTGTTGTTATTTCAAACAGACAACATTTTTAAGTTGGCGATTAAATTATTCCCTTTGTATAATTATTTTTAAAAGCCTGTCAATGTAGCTATAAAATTGTCCTTAGGCTTCTTGGCTTTGTTCCTTCAAAGGAAAATTATAAATACAGATTGGTTTGTATCAGTGATGAAATCTGATCTTATGTGGTAAAATATTTTCCTTTTTTTCCTTTTTTGATCACAGGCCTTTGTTGAAAATAATCCTGCTATTAAATGGTGTCCTATACCGGGCTGTGAAAGAGCAGTAAGGCTAACAAAACAAGGATCGAATTCAACAGGATCAGATACACTTAGCTTCCCTATGCTAAAAGCCCCTGCTGTAGATTGTGGGAAAGGACATCTTTTCTGCTGGTTGGTACTAGAAACTTACTTACATCTACATAAACTAACAGTCGTTGCTTTTCCAGGGATTAATTTCGAAGTCTCACTTAGCATCAAACATGCGACAAAAATTTGTATGGATGGTGTATGACTACTGTCCTCTATCCATGCACTAAATAGCATCATGTGCACAAATATTTTAGTACTTTGGGGCACAGCAAAAGTTTATAATACTGTCTTACTCATTATTGGCTCTCTTAGATGCAAAACAGTGGTATGGAGTGTTGTGATCTTCTGAGGGGACAGAGGAGAGGCAGGATATTGGTGGAGGGATTTCTGTGTCTGCTCTGGATTGCTGTAGTATAATTGAAACACAGCATATTATGTATTGCAGTACAGAAAATGAGCAATTTTTAGCTCTTTCTGCATTTTTGTAGACTCACGTCAAAGAAGCTGGAGTTTAAACATGACTATGAAGGACTTTTGGCTTCACAGTTAGATATTCTGTTTGCAGGATCACTCCAATCATCAGTTCACGTTAGGTTATCTTCTGTTGAATCTTAAGATGAATACAAGCTCAAGAAGGTGTAAAAAACCATAAGATATTTAAAACACATCCATCAGATTGCTTATCGTCAGCACTTCCAAGAAAAAGGACAACAGCAAAAAAGTGGTGGGATAGTTTTCGGAAGTGCAGAACAAAGCCCTGTCCTGAGTTCCTGCAGTACTATAGATCAGAAAGTTTTGCTTAGGACAGCCATATTAGTCTTACAGTACAAAAAAACCCATACATGAATGAGTTCCTCTGGAGAAAATAAAGCATATTCTCAGTTCAGAGGGTTTTCATCATTACTGTATGCTTAAAGGGAGCTTGCTTTATATCTTTAAAGTTCAATCAACACATTACACAGTTCTATACTTACATCAGTTCTGCAAGTTTTACTCAGGTAATCTACAGCTTAGCCACTGTAATAGCAATTGATACTGCACTCACTAAGAGTTTCTTCAGAATTTATGAGAGTCCCGTTCTGTGAGAGAGGCATCTCTTCAGGTGCACTTGGGAAGCCAATTGTAGATTGCAACAGTGTTTTGCTGGCTGGATTCAAAATTTGTTATATGGTATAAATATTATCATAAGGGGAAAGAAAATCCAGAACTGCATTCTTTTTGGATGATGCTTTTCGGCCTTACATGAATTTAACTTGTTGAAACTTGCTATGATTTTATTAAATATGTACTGCACCTTCAAATAAATCACCATGCTGAGTATTGAGGAAGGCAATCCATGGAGGCTAACACTGTTAAGTGTCACAACTGTTCGGTGTTAGTTCCCTTCATTCAGTGCTGTCAGGGAGTTTTGTTTCATAAAAAGATTTATGAGCGATAGGCTCAATGCTTTTACTCTATTAAAATGACATTCCAATATAAAAATCCTTGTTTTGGGATGGGCTGAGGAAAGAACTTCCTTCTATATGATACTCTCTGTTGTCAGTATCAAATAGATAGATACAGAAATAGAGATACATGAGAAATATATGTGATTGCACTTTATTAAAAATCAACAAATTTACAAATTTGAAAACATCAAAACCACAACCTTGCCCCTCGGAACAGATTAACTACTTAGCTTTTAACTTAAAACTGAGTTTTTTAAGTTAATTTTTGCTAGTTTCAGTCCCTTCTGGTAACAAAATCGGCTGAGAAGTCTTAGCTCTCTTGAAGCAAATGACTTACGTGTACTATTGCCCCACAGAAGTGGAAGGTATCATTTTTTAACCGCAGCTGAGATTGCTGTGTTACAGACTAGTTATTAATTCCAGTACAATCTTTCCCAGCTACAGATCTGAAGTATCTCCAAACAGAAGATCCTTGTGTAGTGAATTTAAGCTTGTTTGATAGCAGACTGGCTAGAGGGGAAACAGTTGAAAATGATTGCCATGACCTTTTCTTTGTTCCTGCATTCCCGCTTAAAAGGAATCAGAAGAGTACTGACTGCCGTAGCTTCTGAATTGGCACCGCAGAGAGCAGTTCACTACTGGATCTGCAGAAAACTTGCGTATGCTTTGGTGCAGCTGGTGCCCATCTGAAATGTACTCCCTCTGAATTGTTTTGTTTGATGTGGCAGATGTCTGAGGCTATTTGCTCATGTTCCAGTCAAAATGGGAATTGTTACAGATTTGGAGTCCATATTGGCACATCTGCACCAAGACACCAGCGGGAAGTCGTGTATCTGCCACTGTCTTGTAGTGATTGCCATGCTGAAAGCTAGTGGTGACTTCAAGAGAAGCTCAAGGGACTCATTTCTCCACTATATCCATATAACTAAGTTAAAGTCCCCATTTAAGATACTCTGGTGAAAAGAGTAAACATCCATAAATACTTAAAGTTGGTGTTGAAGGTTTTGGATCCTTTTCTAGATTAAAAGTTCACATCTACTTAGAGATTGATTATTACAACTGAATAGATGCAAGTAATTCTACATAAAATGCATTTCAGCTATAGCAAACTACCTACTTTTGGATAATCTCTTTATTCTGGCTTACCTTTATCACAGGAACTATACTAGCACGTTTTGTGGCAGTAAAATAGTACCCACGCATAACTCCAACAAACTGCAAACCAGCTGATTTATTATGGATTGTAATTTTTGAAAGCTCTTTTCCTTTCCTGTCTCATATCAGTATTAATAATGGTCATCTCTGCTTCTGAGAGCATTTTAAAATAATGTTAATTGAATGGCTTTTTATCTTGCTGACTTAATTAAAGTTCGAGTGTGTCTTGAAAAGTTTCCAAGTTTTTTAGCTTGAACCAGTTTTATAATTCTTAATCTCCAAATGATAAGTAATTGTGTATGCACCTTCATTTTCAGGGAATGTCTTGGTGAAGCACATGAACCTTGTGACTGCCAAACCTGGAAGGACTGGCTACAGAAAATATCTGAAATGAAACCAGAAGAACGTAAGAGTCAGGCCAGGGCGGGGGGGGTGGGGGGGGGGGTATGGTGGTGTCTTTTTTTTTTTGCTGCTGTTTTTATCTTTTGGGTTTAGAGGGATTTTTTAGCTGCACTACATAAAAACTCTACATTGGTTGAAAAATAGGATAAAAGGGGAAGAAACTTAAACCCCTCAGTGAGGGGCTGCTTCACATTGTAACTGTATATTGGGCAGCACTATGGTAAACTTCATAAGCATTTCTCCCCATAAATCTGCATATGGTTCAGTCATGGCATACAAAACTCCTTTCCCTTCCTCTTACAGCTTTTTTTCATTAATTAATTGACTTGTTCCTGAATGTAACTTTATTTGTCCTGGACAAATTTTAAATCTTTTAGCCCAGTCTGCGCTTTGTGTTGTGTTCGTTGCAGTTGTTTGTGTGCTTTAAACTAATTCAAACCAACAGGTGATAATAATAGGTTGAGGGTGAATTGCAAGAAATTGAGGGGAATGGCAGAATGATAAATAATGTTTACTGAGAAAGAACTAATAAAGGTTAGGTTTACACAGGACAAACATATTGTTGGTCAACATTAACAAAAAAATTAAAGATTGACAGTAATTCGAATAAAAAATAACATGGTTACCACAGTTCAGAGCCTTTCCATAATGCATTATAAATATTCTAGAAAGCACAGAAAATCTTACAAAGAATATACCATGCCCAGTTTACTCATATAAGTATTTGTTCATTTATATGTTACAAATATCATATATAATACATACAAATTTGTATGGAAATATATGTGTGGAAATATATATGAATACTATGTGTAATAATTTTATATATAATATTTATAAATTGGAAAATATATGTTCATCTTTGTGAGAAATATATACAGTGAAGAATTACAATGTTCTGTCAAGAAAAAGATCCTAATCTGATTTTCACAAAAGATTACACAAGTACAATTTCAATTTCTCTTCTTTTGCATGCTCCGTATCATCCTGTCACCCTCATAAGTTGTGGGAGTGAGTGAGGCGTATGAAGATGCTGCCAACTGCCTGTGGTTATTGACAAACTCCAAACCATGTGCCAACTGCAAATCTCCAATTCAGAAGAATGAGGGCTGCAACCACATGCAGTGCGCAAAGGTAAGAAAGACCCTTCATATAATTTGTTGTGAAACATAATTCAGGTTATATATGTCATGTATATGTTTTAGGAGCACAGGTGTCCAAAAGCCATGCCTGAGATCTGATGGAGCCTGCTGGAAGAATTAGATAATTTGCAAATGGCAGCTTACATGTATTTAGAAAATGTTTAATATTTAGTGAAATCTGTTTGGCTGGCAGGTAAAGACTATAATGATGGAAATTCATAAACACTAAGAAATACTGGCAGTACAGTATGAAACTTAAGGAAATGGAAATAATTGATTGTTTAATCACCATTAATGATGTAGAAGAGAACATTTTTACTTGGCAGAAGACGAAACATTTTAAGGAATGGTAACCTCTAATGAAGGTTTTGCCATACTACATTTTTCTTTTGCATTATGTCTCTTAATAACACAACAGAGAAGTTTAAATGGAAAACTGTAAACAAGTAGGAAAGAAAAGACAGCAAAGAGTAATTTCAAAAGAAACTTATTGGTGACAGCAGCCAAAGAATTAGTCATGAGTTTGCACTATGCTACTGAAATAGAAAAAATATTTTTTGCCGTGAGTTCAGTATCATTTGAGAAAGCATTTTCTCTCAAATTAGTTAAAAGCAGCATGTTAGAATACCATCTCTTTATGTCAGAAGTATCTTATATAACTACAGCTAATACCTCTTTGAGCAGCATCATTAAAACATAAGAAAGAAGCACACACTTGACATAGTTGGCTGCCAATGAAAACCTAAGAGACTTAGAAAGTCATTTTATTTTCCTGGAGAAATTAGTCTCTCTCCATTGCAATGCGCATCCTGTTTTCTTTATATTATCATCACACATATTCTCTCCCTTTCTGTGATATGAAGATTCGGGCTTTTTTCAGTGTCATTTCTTTGTTTTTGTCTGTGGCAGCAGAGAACAGATTCTCCTCCACTTTGGTTTATGCCAAGTTTGATGGGTTTTGTGTTGGTTTTGGTTTTTTTCCTTACATGATTTTTAAAAGAGCTCCTAAATTCTACAGTGCTAAAATCGGTTAAAGGTATGGTCATTGCAGCTTTTGCCACTTAGCTTATCTCAGCAGAAAAAAGTATGGCTTCAGGCTGGAAAAAAATTGGCCATTAAACACTGTTGAATGTAGATAATTTAATTCAGTGCCAGTCTAAGGCACTGGCTGACAACCACAGTTGTCTTTTATTCTTTGATGCTGTACTTCATAAACAGCTCCAACTGTCCTTAAAGCAGTCAGATTCCTTTTGTGGTGGAGAAATCTCTGCAAAGAGAAGCTGCCTCCCCTCACCCTAGTGAGAAAGGAAAGGAAGTATATCCTCAAGCTCATTGCAGAGCTTAGACACAAGATATAGTGGCCACCTCGCTTGTCTTCTCCTCCATTGAAGTAATGTCCTGTGACAAAGCTTCTGCCTTTGCTGCAGTAAAGTCTACTCAAGCCTACTACATCGTGAACTGTAACTGCCTCTTAGCAGCTAGCATGTAGTATCCTCCTCTGCACCAAGAGTGGTGTAGAGGAGGATACTCTTTGCTCATAGAATCACATTTCTGTACTAAGTAGACATTTTCCTCTTTTATGAGCCCAGTTTCTAAGGAGACAAGGCTTAGACAGTTCTGCTGTCTCCCGAGCCTGTAGCAGTTTTTAACCTTCTGAGTACTTTGAATCAGATATGAAGGAACAGGATGGGGTTCATGGATATTAAATTACTGCAAGTTCCAAGAAACTTGGTAGCTGTATGGTGCAGAGACTTAATTTGTACTGACACCAAGAGAAAGGCTGAAATACCTACTCAGCAGTTACCTCTTCTGCATGGCTCAGGCAGTGTCTGGGCAGCAGATGCAATTTGTTAAGCCTAGGCAATGCTGCTGCATGGCTAAGTGATTGTAAAGGCACATAAAACAGAGCTCAGGGGGTTGGGAGATGTGTAGCAACAAGTGGTGTGGTTTTGAAAGTTTAATGAGACAGGTACTGAAGGAGAGTCTGAGAACACTGCTTGGATCTTGGGATTTTGAGAAGGCTTTGGGAGATGTGAGAGATGGAAGATATTTATCATAGAGTGGTCATGGAGTGAGATAATTTGGGAGAGGTGAGATTACTGCGGTAGGAGCATATACACATAAATTACTAGAAAGTTAAGCTTTATTAGTTCCGTTGCTCGTGAAACAAATATTAATGGCTTCATATTAATTAATACAAATTTTTGCTTACTTTTTTCAGGATTTCTCTTTTCTTATCTGTAAAACAGATGTCATAAACATGATTCACCAAGTTGATGTCTTTTGCTTCCAAGTATTTTGAAATAAATTAGCTGAGAACTCAGTGCTGAGTTGAAAATATTTAATACAGTTTGATCTTCTCTGATGCAGAGAAGCCTGGATAAGTCAGATCACCTTTGTAGGTTGTTACCTGTTTTGAAAACTCTACTCAGTCAATGCAGAAAAGGCTCACCTTGAAGTAATCACTCTTCAAAGCTTATGTTCTGGTTTCTTCTCTGTTGCTTTAGTAGTTGTTACTAATATTTTGCATCAGGAACACCACATGACAAAAATACTAGTAATCACATTTTTTAAGCGATATTAGCAGAAAAAATAACATTCATTCTCATGAACAGTTTCTGTGTTGCTTAAAAAATGGGACTATCTATTTTGAAAACAATGACAAAAAAAAACCAGGCCTGATCAGCTGTATTTATCATATGACTGTTTTATCCACTTGAAAATTAACATGTAGATCCAACACAATTGTGTTATCCAAGGAACAAAAATTATGATTGATGTGATTTAATAACTCAGATCTTCTGTAGCATGTAAAATGGGAAGGAAGCTCCTCAAAAATTTTTTTTTACCATAAGCACACCCATAATGATGTTAATTCAGTTGTTCCTGGAGGAATAATGATGAATAACTGCAAATCTTTCAACTTTTTTTTTTCCCTTGTTGCTTTTTTTTCTGAAGTGCAAATATGACTTTTGCTGGATATGCTTAGAAGAATGGAAGAAGCACAGCTCTTCCACTGGAGGCTATTACAGATGCACTCGCTATGAGGTTATTCAGCATGTAGAGGAACAGTCTAAGGAGATGACAGTAGAGGTAACAAATGAATGTGTGTGTTTGAAAAATAGTGCTAAGGCTGTAATTTTCTATTTAGGGGAGGTTTCATCAAAATTCTTCTAAACCCAAGTTTTATATTGAAAAATAGAACCTTAAATTTATCAAAGAGACAGAAAGAAACACAGCTTATTTGTGGATAGAAACATAGAATTTGGTTCTGCATTTGGCTTTGGTAACAACCACTGGTGACTTTACTTGATTCATTTTACTTCTCTGTGCCATGGTTTCCTTTTGTGGAATGGGTATGCTAGTACTGTAATTAGCTGCTGCGCACTACCAAAGACATGCATTAATTTTGGCTTTTGGAGAGTATCCTTAAATAGCATGCACACACCGTGTATCAACACTTTGGCTACAGTATTTACAGACTTGTGAATTTAAAAATTGCATTTGCCTCTTTACTTACATGGCATTTGTCAGCATTGTGTACAGTAGAATCATAGAATCATATTAAGATCATCTAGTTCCAACCCCCCTGCCATGGGCAGGGACAACACACACTAGACCATGTTGCCCAAGGCTCTGTCCAACCTGGCCTTGAACACTGCCAGGGATGGAACATTCACCACTTCTCTGGGCAACCCATTCCCGTGCCTCACCACCCTCACTGTAAAGAACTTCTTCCTTATATCTTACCTCAACTTCCCCTGTTTAAGTTTGCACCCATTACCCCTTGTCCTATCGCTACAGTCCCTAATGAAGAGTCTCTCTCCAGTATCCTTATAGGCCCCCTTCAGATACTGGAAGGCTGCTATGAGGTCTCCACGCGGTCTTCTCTTCTCCAGGCTGAACAGCCACAACTTTCTCAGCCTGTCTTCATACAGGAGGTGCTCCAGCCCCTTGATCATCCTTGTGGCCCTCCTCTGGACTTGCTCCAACAGCTCCATGTCCTTCTGATGTTGAGGACACCAGAACTGCACACAATACTCGAAGTGAGGTCTCACGAGAGCAGAGCAGAGGGGCAGGATCACCTCCTTTGACCTGCTGGTCACACTCCTTTTGATGCAGCCCAGGAAACGATATATAATGTAGAGGGAGTAGTTGATTATGTAATTATATCTACTGGTGATTGCTGAATTAAATTGTAAGATTTATCTTGGTTTCTTTTGTTTCCCCATTGTTTTCCAGGCTGAAAAGAAGCATAGAAGATTTCAAGAGCTTGATAGGTTTATGCACTATTACACAAGGTTTAAGAACCATGAACTTAGCTACCAGGTGTGGATCTAGCCATTTACAGCAATTTTTGTTTCTATTTTAATAGAAACAAATTTTATTTTTATTTTAATCCAAAAATAATGATTTTTTTTTTTAATTAGTTAGAACAGCGCCTTCTAAAAACAGCCAAAGAAAAGATGGAGCAGCTGAGTAGAGCTCTCAGTGGAAGTAAGTATTTGCTGTGATCTGTGAATTTTATTTGAAATAAGATCAGCTCTGTTATGGCTAAACCTTTACTCTTGGATAGAGCTTACATCAGTCTGCTGTGTGATGAGATCCCTTCAGTACTCCAGTACTAGAATTTATAAGCAGGGTAGAAAGCTAAATGTACAGTAAATCTTACCTATTCCAAAGACTCAAGGAGAAAGTAACATTAGTAAGGGAAAAGGTAGTATTATTCTGTGCTTATTTCTTTTAGTAAGACCACTGTGTGGTCATTGTGAACCTGCTGCTGTTCACTTGCCAGATATTTAACTGACGTGCACATGAATTTAATTTGGAGGAAAACTCTTACACTAAAAAAATGCTGACATCAGAAGGAAAGTATTTGCACAGTGCTTGTTTCATCTTACAGCTGAGGGAGGCTGTCCTGATACCACATTCATTGAAGATGCAGTGCAAGAGCTTCTAAAAACTCGCCGCATTCTTAAGTGTTCTTATCCATATGGATTCTTTTTGGAGCCAAAAAGCACAAAGAAAGAAATATTTGAACTTATGCAGGTAACACATGCATATATTTTGCTTTTCTAATGTTCCTTTTTTTTTGTAATATTAGTTATCAGTGTGGTTTTGCCATTTTTGTAGTGTAAAACTGATATACCTGCTTCGTATTTGTAACCAAGTTTGGAAAACTAGCACATTTTAATTACTCCATGACAAAGTAGCTTTTAGTTCAATTTTAGAATGAACAAAAAAATACTTCGCTGCAAAAGGAAAAGAGTAAGGTCTGGTGGAAGGGGAAAGAAAGAGAACAATTTACTGTTAATCTTCTTTCTGAGGGTAACATTTTAGCTTCAATCTTCTTCTCTAGCTCCTCTTCCCTTCTACTAATGTGTCTGACGGATGGGTGGGGACAAAACAGGGGGACTACCTGGGTGGCAGTGGCATGAACAACAGGAGCTGCTGTCTCCTTTCGCTTTTCCTTTTACTTTCCCTTTTTCATTCCCTTTCCCTCTCCCTTTCCTTCCCCTTCTCCTTCTCCATCTCCCTCTCCCTTTCCCTCTCCTCTCCTTCCCCCTTTCCTTTCCCAGAGAAGCCCAGCTGCAAGCTGAAGGGCAACATCTAGGTTGGTAAAAGGGCAGACATTTTGGGGTATGTTGGTATTTCACATGGTATTTTCAGGAAAATCGTTCTCATTTGCTCAGTGGTTGCGGTGTAGAGCTCTGCCTGATTCACATTTCACTGTAGAACTATTTTATTCTGTATTTATTAACTATTGTAGACAGACCTAGAGATGGTCACTGAAGACCTTGCACAGAAAGTGAACAGGCCTTACCTTCGGACTCCTCGCCATAAAATCATCCGTGCAGCTTGTCTTGTGCAGCAGAAGCGACAAGAGTTCCTGGCCTCTGTGGCCCGTGGTGTGGCTCCTGCAGACTCACCAGAGGCACCCAGGCGCAGGTAATCCAAGTGCTGTGCGTGTCAAACCAGTTCTTTTGGTAGCTGCCAGAGTGGGTGAATCTACTGTCATTCTTTGACAGAGAGGTAACGTGGAGCTGATAAGCACAGTGGTTGTAAGTCACCAGATGGTTTATTTTCTGGGATCCTCATGTAATTACAGCTTTTCACTTGACAAAAAATCTATTTGAGAATCACTGCTCTTTTATATTGCAACCCAAATTGCTTTCCCATCTATGATACATTAATGATTTGACGTCATGGCTTCCATTTCACTTTTTTTCCTTCAAGATTGTCACTAAATACCTGGTATGATTTAAAAAAATCTATATGTATTTGCTAAAAATCAGGCAGTTCTGGAATGGTCAACAGTTTAATGATATGGTTTTCTAAGTGTGTTTTGAGGTAGGAATTAAAAGACTTGTTAAGTTCAGAGAATTACAGTTGCACTGGTTTTTAGATGTTGATAGGTTTTGAAATTCTGGAGGGTTTTCGTATTTGTTCTACTTCTAAGCTTTATATCTCTTAATTTTATAGCTTTGCTGGTGGAACATGGGATTGGGAATATTTAGGATTTGCATCCCCTGAGGTAAACTATTTCTTTTTAATTTCTTTAATTTAGTTCTGCATATTCTAGAAACACAGGTATGATCGCAATCTGCATGAAGTGCTTCCTTATTTTGGTTCAAAGCATTTCAAGTTGGTCTAAGCTCACCATTTGATTCATTTCACAATAGAAGGAAATATATTCATAGCTAACTGTGCAATGACTCTACATGATATAGTTAATTTAAGGTGGCATTAGACAAACTATGTTGGATTCATCGTTTTCCAAGTACATAACCAGTTTTAAGATTGTCTACAAACTGGTGTCTATGTGCTGGGGAACCTTAAAGTAATAAATAGATGGAACTGTGAACGTCAGTTCAGCAGAATTTGACAAGAAGTCTAAGAAACTTCCATCCTTCTGTCACAATCCAAGAAAAACATACAGGCATACACCTAAACATTGTTAACCATTTGAAATGTTTATTTTTGGGTTTATGTATTGAAGTAGGATGGAAATTGCATACTCAGATGAGATGAACTTCTACTACTTAACCAAGAATGAAAATTATAATTTTAAAAATCAATATCCCACTCTCTGTATATGGGAAAGATTGAATAATTTTCAAGACTCTTCACGAAAATATGAGAAGCTTCTTTTATCATCTTAACTTTTATTTAGTATTTTGAGAACATTGGTTAAAGCCTTCAATTAGGAAGGTAGCTTCATTTCAACATTTCCTTGGTGCTGTTTTCTTTATAGCTAATCATTTTAAAGCCTCCTGGAAAACTCCATGGACTTTTTCTTTATATTTCCTTTCCTATTGTTGCTGGTGAGCGTCACGCTGCTGAGAAGACAGCTTGCTTCTCTACAGAAGATCAGCTTGCTTCTCCTGTCTAGTTCCTTTAGTCCTTTCTTTTGAGATAATTCCACACTCGATAATACCAAACTTATTGTGGTGTTACTGTGTCATCAGAGGAACTGGTTGTGAGAAAAAGCTGATAAGAAATATGTTGATGAGCTGTTTAGCAGTAAGTGCCATTGCAGTCGTGCTTAGGTGATTGCTTATGAGTTTTTTTGATTTGCATAAATGTGGTACTGTATGGTGTAAGTTGGTTTCTTTGCTACGTAGCTATCAAGAATACTTGCAACCACCTATGCTAAAGGAATTTTCTAGAATTAATTATGGTCATTTGTGTTTATTTTAGTGAATTTCACTACAAAATTTTTTATAGAGAATGACTGTGTATACCAGATTATTACAGAAACCAAAATCTTACTGGGTTTAGGGAGGAACACTGCTTGTGGCAGACCATTGTGTGAAAGCATGATGTTCCAGCCCAAGAAACTAAAACTTCTTTTGCTCACATATATAAAATTGTTCCACGTAATCAGAAATAAATTTTATCAGTAGTGATTAAGATACCTTTCTAAAGGTTAAAAAGTAACCAAAAGTGAAATGGCTATTGGGAAAATCTAGGATTTTATTGCAAAAAGATGAGAGAGAAGTTCTGATACGATTCATATATCTTTGTGTTCAATGATCACTTCCCATTATTCCTTATTTGATTCACAGTGATGTAATTATATATAGTTTAAATAATTTAGTTATATTGTTCCATATCAAGTTTTGATTTTCTCTTGTTTGGAGCACAACCTTCCTTTTAGGAAATCTTTGAGCTCCCGTAGGAGCTGGAAGAATGTTTTAGATAATAACCACTTCATGTTTGCCCTATTTTTTTATGCTGTTCCATAGGCTAAGAAGCAATACTACTAACCACTGTTGAAGACAGTAACTGGGGTAAATGGACCTTTTTTCTGGTCCAGTACAGACAGCTACTTTGAGCAACCTGGTCTAGTGGAATGTGTCCCTGCCCATGGCAGCAGGGGGGGGGGGGGAACTGAATGATCTTTAAGGTCCCTTCCACCTCAACCCAAACCATTCCATGATTCTATGATTTTTATGTTCTTACAATTTTCGTGGATCTTCTTAGATCAAAATCTGCCCACACTGATGATTCTGTGACTATTCTTTTGTTTTGCATATGTCATTGTGAATAAGAGTTTGGTCTGAAAGAGTTTGTGGAAAGACAACATGCCATCATAGAATCATAGAATGGTTAGAGTTGGAAGGGACCTTAAAGATCATCTAGTTCCAACTTCCCTGCCATGAGGTCACTGAGTAAGAGAATGACACTCTGTAAGTTTAACACACTTTAGATGTTGAGATATTCCAGGATGAAAAGTTAATGTAAGATAAGAAAGCTAATGGTAATGTTACCTTTCTAAAATCGTTTGGCCAAAGGAAGTCTTCTCCAGCTTGGGGCTCAGGGAAATAAATAGTGTTACAGTGTTCTGAAGAGAAGAGCTAGTACCTGCGTGTATGTTTTTATAGCCTTGGGTAAACAAATAACTGAAATTAACAAAAGATCTTACATGCAGAGTCAGGTTCAGTATCAGCTGTACTAACCTTAAAACGTATCTGGAAATTTGCCTTCCAGCATAAAATTAGTCTCTTGATATTAGGAAAGGTATGGAAATCAAAACATTTATTTCCAAGTATTAAGATAATTAACCCTTGGGATGCTAGCTTGATGTGGTCAAAAATGAGTCTTTCCCATAAATGTTACATAAACTGTCTTGGGTAAATACACATCGCATAAGAAATGACAGGCTGCAGGAGTTCAAATCCATATGGTAATGCTCATTAGCAGCTCAAGTAAGACAAAAATAGAGGAGATCTGTAATTCATGGAATAAAAATCCATCAGACTGTGCAGTAGAGGTGTATCAGCTGTGGCTTAAGAAGTTCCTGAGACACAGTGTCCTGGAGGCTGGGAAAAGTGTAACAAGTCCCGGTGTATGTCTGCCAGCTTTCTGTAGTCTTCCAAAGGTTACTTTCTGCTGGCAGTTGCTGGCAATGGGGACTCTGAAATAACCTATTGGTTCCATTCAGATTAATTGTTATGTTCTAAAATCACTAGCTCTGTATTTATTGGAAAGTGTGTCAATGTGTGTGTATATAAAGTTTGGCATCAAAACAAAAAATGCATACTTGTAATTCTTTAAAAAGGGGGATTGCAAGTATTAATATGTTGGTAATATGTCAAGTATTTTTCTTTGTTAATTCATTATTTTACCTATTTAGGATTACCTTGTGGGGTATTTTTAGTTATTATTTATGTTAAGCATTGCATGATGTAACTTGCAATTTATTTTTCTGAAAACAGGTGATTTTATAATAAACATATAAAATCACACATTTTGTCATAAAAATGTGGTGCTTATTATTCAGAAAAATATTACTGCATGCTGCCCTGTATTTTGTAACCTTTGGTTTATGCAGGAATATGCTGAATTTCAGTATCGGAGGAGGCACAGACAGCGTCGACGTGGAGACATGCACAGTCTGCTGAGTAATACTCCAGATCCTGATGACCCCAGTGAGAGTACACTAGGTATGTTCATGCCTGTGCCTGTTCCTTTCCTCTTTCTGCTTCAGAAATTGCTAGTAGTGACCAGAGTGTTCATTCTTCTATGGATACACTTTAAAGAAGTTTCAAATACATTGCTGTATCTTCCAGGATACAACATAAAGGCTTATTTTTGCTTTTTTGTATGTGATCTTAGAAGTGTTGTTGACTTCACTGTGGCTGCTCCTCTTTTTAAAGACATTTATATTCCCACTAACAACTCCTCAGCTGTTCAGAGCAGGTTTGCTTTTCTGAAGAAATTCTGAAGGGCAGATACTTCATATGACAGTCTTACCTATGTACCTGCTCCTTTATGCCAATTAAAAGGACCATTTGTGCATAAAGAAGAGGGTGGGTGGAAGAGGATTCCCCCACTACAGGCCTGCTGGAAGTGGAAGATAATCACACGGCTGTATTCCAAAAAACCCTGCTCAGAAAATCCTGTATTGGCAAAGACAGCCAAGAAACGAGTTGGCATGGGCCGTGACTTCCAGCATATGCTCTTCTAAGCAGTGCTATGGCTGGTAGTGCAGTCTCTTAAGGTCACTGTAACTTGGCTGTCTACATTCTGCCAGGACCTTTGCAAAGGTACAAAAATAGCTCAAACTGTTTCTTCAGAGCTGCCAGTTGTGTGCTCGGTCTCTAAGCCATGCGGCACAAACTCATGGCTGTGTCTCACGAACGTAAGTCCTATACATAGCTTGTTCTTTAAAAACAAAAGGAGAAATTCTCTGCTGAGGAGAAATAAACACATTCTTTATTTTAGAAACAGTAAAAAGAATTTTGGTGAGCTTCGGTCCTTCCCTATTAGATGTAAAATGCAAAACCATCCTGTTAGTTTGAGGACTTGAATTTGACGGAACACTTGGCTATTGCAGTGATGACCAGGGCGTACTGTTAAAGCACACAAAAGAGAATTAGTTTGTCTCACCTTATTTCATTTTGAGTTTTGAAGTGGAAAATTCCATTTTCCAAAGTCAAAAGAGTTACATTTGTTTTTATTACAGGGCAGTTCTTCTGGAAACAGCATTTTCCTTCTCATTTTTTGGGTTGTTTTTTTTTTTATTTATGGTTGGTTTTTTGGATGTTTTTTGTTTGGGGTTTTTTTTTTGTTGTTGTTGTTGGTTGTTTTAAAAAAAACAGACTGTCAGTAATTGCTGAGGTTACACTACACTAACAACTCTTTCTTGTGCTGCAGTGTTATGGTAAAAGTTAATGTAATGTTAACATTACAGCTGAGTTGTTGTCTTTGAAAGAACAGAGAAATGGGCAGGCATTGCTTGTAATCCACTGGTACATGTATCCTGTATTTTGTCCACGTGCAGTATTTTTCAGAACTTCCCATAAATCATCTGTGTGCCTTAGAAGCACTTTGTCCCTCCTGCCAATGGACTTATGCTCCTGATGGCATACCCCATCCTTTCAAAGACAAAAAGAAGGGTAGTGACAGCAGAAAAGCACAAATGAGCCAGTCATTCACTCCTTAAACTGTGGGACTGGGGTTTTAGCACTGTGCAAGAGTTGGTGTGGAAGGAGTGTTCTGGATTATTTCCTTCAGAGTGAATAAAGGAGTAAAATTAGACAGAAGGGATCCAAAAGGAAGGAAGAGATTCTGCCAGTAAATGATAGTGGAGAAATCTTCCTCGATGGTTCTTCAACCGTTTTTGTTTCAATTGCCCAAACAGACACTCAGGAAGGTGGCAGTAGTAGAAGACATGGCACCTCCATGGTGAGTTCAGCTTCTATGGGTATTCTGCACAGCTCTTCGCTTCATGACTATACCCCTGTCAGTCGCTCTGAAAACCAGGATTCTCTTCAGGTATCTCCCCTAATCTCTTTTCCATTCTCTCTGCTTTGCTTGCCTTCCTCTGGTCTGCTTTTCTGTGTCACTTTGTCTGCAAATTTTCTTAATTCTTCAATGAGAAAGAGAGATTCTAGGACAACAAATTATACGTTCACACTGGTAAGAAATGCTAACCAATCTCTAATGTAAGTCACTTTTTAAATTACATTGTCAACTGTGTCAGTAAAAATTGGTTCTGATAAATGACATGTAAGAATAATGAATTAATTTCAGATTTGAGCCCAAATTACTTTTCATCCGAAATATGTAACAAGATGACAGTTTTATTCTGACAGCAACCTTGTATATTTTCACAGGCTCTGAGTTCTTTGGATGAAGATGACCCAAACATTCTTCTAGCTATTCAGTTATCATTACAAGAATCTGGCTTGGCCATAGATGAAGAAACTAGAGACTTCCTAAATAATGAGGCATCTTTAGGAGCAATAGGTACCTCTTTGCCTACAAGACTGGACTCTGCTCCCATAAGTATAGATAATCCAAGAGGCGCTTTGAGCAGCTCTGAGCTGTTAGAACTTGGTGACAGCCTGATGAGACTAGGGGCAGGCAATGATCCCTTTTCAGCTGATCGTCTTCACTCACACCCTTGCAGCGACACAAGAAGTGGATTGTATTCAACATCCAGTGATGCCGATTCCAGCAGTCAAGATCCCAATACCAATGAAAATCTACTTGGAAATATTATGGCCTGGTTTCATGACATGAACCCACAGAGTATTGCTCTGATCCCCTCAACAAGTACAGAAACAGATGAGGATTCCCAGCAACCCAATACTGAAGATGGGTCAGCAGGTCAACCAAAACTTATAGACACAAGGCTGGAGCCTCAGGAGGAGCATGCACTATTTGAGGATGCCCTCAAAAATGAAGGCAGAGGAACCCAAACAGAGGAAAGCACTTCTGAAGAAAACATTATTCCGGGTGAAATGGTATCACAGAGTGGTGATAATAACAGGGAGGTAACAAGCACTCTGGATGCCTCAGGAGATGCTTCAAGTCAGACTCCTCAAACCTCAAGTGAATGGATTGAACATGTGCATCTGGTATGAATAAAAACTAAACCTGGTGTAAGTGAATGGCAGTGACAGATGGTACAGTATGTGGAGTAAGCATTATGGAGGCTTTGATCCACATAATTACAGCTCAGTTGTAACCACTGACGTAACATCGGATATTTAGGAGTTCTCTTGAATTGTAGTTCTTTATAATAATGTGAACCTTTCAAGGAATATCCTTTGCATTTAATTAGGTAGTACTTGCCTTTTTGCTCTCAAGAAGAAGGAATAAGTAGGTTGTATTCCACATTCCTAATACAATGCAGCATCTGTTTAGCCTTAGGTTGATGATCCTTAACTTGAAAGTATGGATTAAAGGCTTACACTGATTATTTTGGTTGGTTTTCCTAAGAAATAGTTTATTCCATTTTTTAGAACTCATTCTTTCACCAAAATAACATTTAGCAATTTGTTTGCGTTTTGGTTTTGTTTTCTGTAACTTTTCTTTACTCAGTTTTCATTTTTGTTAGCAGTGTGAACGGAGGTATTTAATGCTTCTCCTTAGTACTGCTCCAGGAACAAGTTTTAGGGGATATTCTTTCCCACTAAAATCAAAGATTTTTTCATGTCTATTTACAGTCCAAATGTGCCAAACTGTGAATAGTTAGCTGGCCGTAGCCTAACGGAACAGTGCAGTGTTACTCTGTCAAACTAATCCCACAATTCTTAGCAGTGAAAGAAACCACTGGGTAGCATTGCTTCTCTAAATTAAACTGGCATGTGTTGCCATGGTGACTGCATTTAATTAAATGTAGCCTGTATCTTAAGTTAATAAAACCTAATGCTGCTGTTAAACAGTTATTTTAAATATTAAAATACAGTGAGTTAGCCACAGCTATGCTGTATTTTAAGAGACACTTTAATGGAAGTGCAATCATAGTTCTTTTCATAATTCTACAAAGCATTCTATGCACTAATAGTGCGATTACTTTTAATGATAACATTTTATAAAAATGTAGGAATACAGAATTTTCATATATTAGCCAGTCCCACAGTTAAAGTTCGGATAACACATTCTGCTCAACATGTTATGGTGCCTTTGCCTAACCCAACTGGATAGTTGCCACAGTTTAAACAAGTAATTCAAATTCAGTGTCTGTTCTGGAGTAACTATGCTATTAATTGCAAAGACCTCCATAAAACCACCCATGGCCTTGCCTTTACAGTAAATAACTAAATGTTCAGTCAGTGTTTTTGCATAAACAAAACACTGCTAGGTATTTGTTCTATTGCACAATATTCATTTGCTGTGTGATTACTGTTTAGTGTAAAAAAATAAAAATAAAAAATAAATTAAAAATAAAAAAGCAAACACAAACCCCCTTTTCCTAGATGTTGTACCGTGAAAAAAAAAATAAAATACTGGTTTTAGGTTTGCTTAAAAGCATCAATCTACAGTTAGTGAGATACAATGGTACAGTATGTAATTACAACTAGAGTAAGTTGTTCAAATGGCTGTTTTAATTACATATAATCAAAACCTGTCATAACACAAGCAAATTACATACACTCCGTTTTAAGTTTTGCTTAACTGTTACCAGAGATTTGTTGATATGATATAAAAGTTTATTACTACTGAGTGTGTATAGGCAAGTGTCATAATAGCAAAGTTTATGTATTGATTACTGTGAGTTCAAGTGAATGTTTTGGTAACTAATTCATGCCAATCCAGCTTTTGAACCTTGAAGTCGCAAGGTTTGTATTAGTGAAAAATTAAATAAGAATATTTTACTCTTACCCCATAAAAACCTTGTTCATTTTGCAAGCATCTTTAGAGAGAATGGAATAGAATAGTCTTAAATAATTCCAGCTTTTCCTCTAGCTGCCCTATGCCTTGTCATCATAATGATCCTTTGGACATCTTTGAAAAAATACATATTTTAAATTCTTCTATGATATAAAATCCTTCAACTAAAACAGTTCTTGGTGAACTGTCATCATGAATTGGTCTGAAAGTTGTTTAACTCACATAGCTTCTTTGAATTGTAATTTCTGAACAGAAAGATTCTCACAAAAAGATTGTGTATTGCATTGAGATGTCTTGCAAAGTTATGGTAAGATATGTAAGAATGCTTTCTGTGAAGATTGTGAAGTCTGTGGGTTCTGGTTTTTTGTAATTGGTTAGGTTGTGCAGTATATCCCTTGTTTCCGTGTTACTCTTATGAGCATGAAATTAGCCTATTAAATTTGTATTTTCTTGGTACTTATTTTAACACCATAGTCATTGACTTTACAATTCAAAAATAAAGTTTGGCAAGACTATTTTGTAAACCTGTTAATTTTATAATGTAAAAAAATTACTCTAACCTTGAATTGTTATTTGCACTTTCATAGTCTATACTTGATACATTCCCACTTTATATACAAGTAGGATACTACAACCATGTAGATGTTTGGCCAAATGAATGCTGTTAATAATATGTAAAATTCTTTGATTAAACATTTATTACTTAAACTAACTCCGTTCTGTCTCATTACATCTTAGAGTTACTGTAGCAGATTAAGAGTGATGACAGACATTTTCAGGGTATGTTCAGTCCTGTGCCAGAGTAACTGGGGACCACATAATCAGTTGAATGTTTTGATTTGTTAATAGAAGGTACCTATATTCATTAAGCTTTTAAAAGAAAATCTAAAATACACGATTTTGTCTTAATTGCTACAGCCATATTTTTGTGAAGAGTAATGCCTTGTCATTACAAACAGTGGTGCTAAAGAGTGGGGGGACTCATTGTTCAGGAAGATCCTGTTAATTAGTGTTACTTATGTGCCACTTAACATCCAGGTTCCTTTTTGTTACCAGGAAATTTCAGGTTACGTTAACAGGCACTAAACTATTCTGTTAATTGCTATAGTAATTTAATTAGCTTTCTCCAACAAGCACGCCAAGATGCTGGAGAGCTTCTGAAAGCTAATGTACGAAGTTGGATTAGTCACTGCAAGGCACTTTCCATCACCTGCTGCTGTGGTATCACTGCATATGTTGCAATTAGCAAGGACTGAGTTTTACTAAGAGCGTATCACGAGAGATTTTTGGGTTTATGGCAGCTAAAACATACTAATAGACAAATTTAAAACATACATTCTGAGGTGTTTAAAATCACCACAACGTGCTTCAAAATCAGACACCCCCGCAGCCCAGTTTCAGAGATCTATTTATCAGGGCAAATTTCACCATTGCCTTCACCTCCTTCTCTTCCCCTCTCCCAGGATGTACAAGGCATCCCACTATAATACTCAAGAGGCTGTAAGAATGGAAGCCAACCATGGGTGTAATGATAGCTAATTTCTTTACTAAAAATTGTCTAGACATTCTACATTCATTATTGTCCTTGCTACTCTTCCGTAGGTTAGACAGATACGGAAACTGGAAAGATGTAGAGAAGCCAGTAGTGATGCAAAACTGAGTGTAATTTTTACCATCTCATGCTTTTAACTGAAGAGTAAAGCACAAGATGTGCATCAAAAGGAGGAGAGGGATCCCCTGTAAACGTTGCATAAAGCTGTGTTTGCTGTCAGTCTTTGTATGAAGACAAAGCAATGAATGAAGGCTTGGCTTTCAGCAATGGTATGCTTGCATTCCACTTCAAAAATAGGCAAGTATAGAATTTATACTGTTCTCCGAATATATAACAACATAAAACAATTTAAGTAGTTCATAAAAAATAGAAAAAAACCCCCAGACTAATGGAGTAAAAAACCATGGTTTCTGTCTTAACTGCAAAGCCCTTTTTTCCTCAGCTCTTCATAGATACTTAATGTTACATCTCACCAACAAAAGGTTTAAGCTAATTATTAAAAATTATGCTGGTCTTGACCTTTACAGAAATCCTTTCTGCAGTGAAATACAAACTTGAGAAGGTGTCTTGCATATGTTTGGGCTTTTTTTATTTTAGATCATTTGTGTGAATATCCAGATAAATGGAATATAAGCAAGAAAATGTTTAATATGTCCAGATAGATGTTCAGTACTGCAGATACATCATCTTCAGGATTGAGATTACAGTGGTATTTTCATCCAAGCAAAAGTATCTTCTCCACAAGATACTGGAAACAAGATGGGGAAGTTTACCTTGGGGGGTTTACATAAGAATTGTTCACTACATAAATAGTTTCAAGGAGTATTTATTAGTCTGTGAACCCAAGGGGTTTCCTGTGAGAAACAGTGAACATAACTATGCAAATTATTCGTCAGTTATATTTTGGAACCCTGGAACTTCTGCTCTAATTATGAGATCAATTTTATTTATAATTATCTACTTAAAATCAGGTCTTCCTGGGACACCAGCATTTTTACTCTGCAGAGGCCACAGGTACTCTCTACATCTTTTAGCATGGCAGTCCACGTAGCCAACATCATCACCTTTAGGGATGCAAACAAATAGCAGTCATGTTAATTAGCCAGCCAAGATTCACTAAAAAAATTGTAAAGAATACTAGGATTTATACATGTTATAGTAGGAAACGTCACATTCTGCAATTTAAGAAGAAAAATAAAACAACAAACAAAACTTATTAAAAAAAAAAAACCCAAAACCTGAAATTTCTGTTCGGGTATCTGGACTTGGAGGTCCTCCTGACCATGATGTCTTTATGTATAATTCAGCAGCAGACACCACTTCAAATAACAGTTCTGGTTGTTGGAGCACTTAGACAGTGCTACTGAGCACAGCAGTCCAAATTCTGCTTGGCTGTAGCTTAGCTGTCCAATCCCATACTGTGGTGGTTTAGACTAATTCTGTCCTGGAAGGCAGAAGAAACTGGTAGTCTCTTTAATGGTCTAAGTAAAAAACACATTTACTCTTATTTGTACAAAGTGAGCACAATATACACAGCATAGAAAGAAGCTTTAGGATGTAGGCCTTTAGGATGTCTGTAACGTTTATTCATTATATAAAGAGATATGTAAAATATTTAGATGAAGTAACTTCCTCTTGAATAGAGCCAGTCTTGATGGACTTCTGCACTTTTTGCTACTCTATAGCTCTTCTCTGAAATCATGTTAGAAATGTAAATTAGACACACTACTAAAATACTGAAGACTATGGTTCCAATAGGACATAACCTATTTGTAGCTACTGTTAAAGGACAAAGCATTTTTCATAACTGATGTTATTCTTCTCTGTAGGCTTAAACTGGAAATCTTTACACTGAAACATAGTAGCTATTTGTTATGTAAAGAAACTGTGTCCTCTCATAATTTCCTATTACATTGCTATTTTCGTGCCCATCAGCCCTTCTAAGTTTTGCTTGAGTACAGGGCTGCTGCTGTATCCACCCAGCACAGCAGTCTAGTTTCATCTTTGAAGAAACTGCAGTGAACTCAAATAAGGATGAGTGTAGTTCCGCGTTCCATGGTAATAACAACATAGAGAAAGGCTGAAGTTCACTAACAGAGCCAGACAAGGGGAGAAACAGTGACTGCAGGAAAAAATCCCAGACTAAACCATGGAAAAATATCCTAGGCAAGTCTGAACTGGTTGAAGAATTCAACAAACAGAGCAATGTGCTGCAAAGGTTCATGGAAAATGAGATAAACTCGTAATTGCCTCTTACAATCATACTTGCTGTTGCAAGGTGGCTCAAAGAATGCCGAAGGCCACAGTGGCTTAGATAGGAACCAGGAATGTTTCAGGTACTACAGTGAAGTCCCACTGGGAATAATAAACAAAACTCGGGCTCAGTTTATCACCTGCTACAGCAGGTCCTTTGGCTGATGTCTGAAGAGAGAAAAAGTCGAAAAATTAAACCACGGGCCTGCCACCTTTCAGGGACTTGGAAAGTCTCCAACCACACAGCTCCTCGGAAACTGGGACTCCCCATGCAGTACAGAGAACTACAGTCACAGAAGGAGTTGAGCACGACTTGTCAGAATGCAGCTGAGGCTGCATCAGAAGCGGGGGGCTTCATAAAAAAATGCTACAATGACAATCCCATGTAACGGGTTCAGTGCAGCTGACTGAAAAGGACAAACCTGGTTTTGAAGTACAGAACAGTAATAAACTGGCAATGGTAAATAACTGAGGTTGGTTTGCACTTAGTAGGAAATCTTCTACAACTAGCAGATCTCCTTTATATAGTTTTACTAATTAATTAAAGAGAAAGTCTGTGATTAACAAGTTAATTTACACGCACAGTGGGAATGTGCATGTTGTGCCTTCAGGAGCCTGTATGGACTTGCAGCTATCATACTGGCTCATAATGGAGACATGAAAACGTTCTATAACAAAAAATGTGCATAAAGAGAATGAACTTCCATAGTCACAGTTAC